ACGTGCCCCCCTCCCGCGCAGCTCAAGCCGGTGTTACCGGGCACAGCGCTGGCGACTGCGTCCGGGCTGCTCCCCGCTCCACGCGCGTTTCCCGGTCTGTGGAGACGCGCAGGTAACCTGGGAGTTGAAAAAGACACACAACGATCACTGCTGGATCCTGCCTCGGTCACTGTCACCAATTTGTGCCGCTACGGCCCTCGCTGGGGACACGACGTGCTCTGTGATGAGCAGAGGCAGCGCCGTCCTTGTCTCTAGGGCTGCTTTTTTCTTTAACTCTGAACAACTAGCTTTTTATTCCAAGCCCACGCCATCGAATCCATCTCACTTCTAGCTTTCTCGCAGCTGCGTGACACGGCAAACCACTTAATGCCTCCTCAGACATCCAATTCTGAGGCCAAATCTGCAGCGAGGGGAGAGCATGGGACACTTACAAAAGCCATCTTTTGTGACGGCAAAACAGACGGGCATTCAGCTGCAATTTTTAAAAGGAGCTGGGCAGCCAGCTCCCGTATGCTCCTTCGAAAATCACAGCTAAATTAGGCCAGCGAATGCTGCACAGTTCACTGGACAATATCAGCATGCTCATTCATATGCATAAATGCAGATTTTCATGTTTTGGTAAGTGGGACCCTTCTCGAGGTCTGACTTGCAAAGTTTATAGATTTTTCTCTTTTGAATGCGATCGTTCTTGTCACTGAAGAGCAATTCACATGCAGAAAGGCATAGTTAGTTTCTAACCGACTCTTTTATTACAAGGTCAAATATAGGAAAATTCCACGTTGTGGCTCTAAGACAAATCATTAAAACATCCCTCTCCCTCACTCACATATTCTACTGCTGGAAAAAAAGAAGCCATCTCACTCAGACTGGAGTAATCCACTGGATTTAATAGATTTTTTTTTTTTCCCGAACTGCATCCAAAATCAGAGAATGACAAGACAAACCCAAGTTATGTTCAGGATTTTTTGTCCAAAAGTCTCTTCTGAACATTTATTTCGGAATGGCCTACATTAAGCCAAAGCAAGAGAGCATTTTAAAGTAATGCATGTATCATTTCTTCAAAAGGAAAAATCAAGCCTGATACTTTGAAACTGAATATAGTCACAGACACAAACATTTAGAGCTTTAACAGACATCCTCTACTAAGAACAAACACTCAGTTTCAAAGAAAATGTGCACTTTATATACAATTAAAATGAAAAAAAAAAAAACAGTAATAGAAACAGCTCCATTACTTTGCATTTTCGGAATGAATTCAGTGCTGGGATTGCAATATTCTATACACTGCTTGCTAATGGGAGTATTTACTGGTGGGGACAAAAGCTCGCAGGACTGACCTGAGACAGTAGCTTTAAGCAGGTAATGGTTTAGATGATTAATTGGGGAAGGGCTAACACGAACAACGGGTGAAGCAGTTGTCATGAACCAATTTTGTTTTAAGCCATTACTAAGAAATCGCTGCAGTTTGCGTAGAGAGCAGCAAGGGGAAAGGATTTTCACTTCTCACCATTCGGCTGGTGAAAGGCTGTTCCGAAACCACCGCAAAGGGTTAAGAGCAACGTAACCCTCTTGGGAAGCTGAAAAGAACCACCCCAGTGTCGGGGATAATGAGTGGATTGTAGCCATGCATCCGCGTTTATCTCCAG